ACTCCATCTCAAAATGGGGTGGCCGAACGTAAGAACAGACATCTTCTTGAAACTGCACGAGCTTTATTATTTCAAATGAATGTTCCTAAACCCTTTTGGGCCGATGCAGTTTCTACCGCATGTTTTCTCATTAATCGCATGCCATCATCTGTTCTTCATGGTGAAATCCCTTACAAAATCCTTTTTGTCCATAAGCCACTGTTTCCTGTTGCCCCTCGAATATTTGGTAGCACTTGTTTTGTTCGGGATGTTCGACCGCATGTCACTAAATCAGATCCCAAGTCTTTGAAATGTATCTTCCTTGGTTATTCTCGTTTTCAGAAAGGTTATCGGTGTTATTGTCCTAGTCTTAACAAATACCTTATCTCAATTGATGTTACCTTCTTGGAAACCACACCATACTTTCCGTCTTCTCCTCCTGCACGTCCGAGGGAGGATGATGATTTGTTGGTCTATTCTATCGTCTCCTCTGAACCTGTCTCCGACCCGACTCTGGTCAAACCTCCTATTCTTCACGTCTACTCCAGGCAGAGAGCTCCTGATTCATGTCCTGCACCTGCTCCTTCGTCATCGGATCCAGTTCCGCGCGATGATCTTCCAATTGCGTTACGCAAAGGTACACGCCAATGTACTTATCCTATTTCGTCTTTTGTTTCTTATCGCTGCTTGTCGTCTTCCTCTTGTTCCTTTATTGCGTCACTTGACTCGATCTCTATTCCGAAAACGGTTCATGAGGCCATCTCTCATCCTGGTTGGCATCATGCAATGATAGAGGAGATGAATGCTTTGGATAATAATGGTACTTGGGACTTGGTCGATTTACCTTCAGGGAAACGGGCTATAGGTTGCAAGTGGGTGTTCACAGTTAAGGTAAATCCGGATGGGTCAGTTGCTCGTTTGAAAGCCCGTCTTGTTGCTAAGGGCTATGCTCAAACCTATGGCGTGGACTATTCTGACACTTTTTCTCCTGTCGCTAAATTGACCTCTGTTCGGTTGTTTATTTCTTTGGCTGCTACTTACTTTTGGCCTTTGCATCAACTTGATATC